AAGTGAATTAACTTAACGTTCTACACACCTATAAAACTTTTGCTTTGTTTTCTATTGTTAATTTATATACATTTTTGTTTTAAGAAATTGCTAAACATTTTCGTCTAGTACTGTACAGTTCTAGCCGATCTCCTAAGACCGCCCATCGAGAGCTCTGCTCGTTCAAGCTTGTTCCAACTATTTCTGTATTGCTCACGCCTAGTGTATATCTTTCTATCATCGCGCAGATTTCTTCAAGGTCACAATTCTAACAAATTGAAATAGACTGTAGTAAGTTGAAAGAAGAAAGTAAATGCGACAGTTGTATTGCAGACTATGCCAATTTTGAACGTCCCACCTATAACGAGTATTATCAGTTTTAATTAAGACTGGGTAAATATTACAGCACTTAAAACTCAAACTTTACAAAATACCGATACATAGTCTGTCCAGTAATCACCTAATTGATTGTGAGCCTCTAGAATTGAATGTATAACCCGCTGCTTGATAAGAAAATTTTTCTCCATGATCGAAATTCATCAGAAGATGACACAACAATTCTACAGTGAAGACACTCTTAGGAAATTAATGAAACATTGAAGGGTTTTTGTGGAGATACAGCACTAAAACAAAGACTTCTTTTCAAATGGATTAAGCGTTTGATCAAGGATTGTAGGGACTAAAAAGATGACGTAAGGCTAGGACGACGTTCGACCTCCTGTATTGTAGTGGCATAGCATGGAAGGGACATAGGGTGTCATGGCAAAAATACTTTCTCCATCATTAGATACAGTGCTGGTATTTAGACCAGCTTTTAATAATTTGTGGTATGTATCAAGACACTACCGTCTTGCTGAGCAAAAAATATTTTGATAAAAATTTGTAAAAAGAATCCTTAACTGTACGCTTTTGTTATAGAAATGAAGGCCGTTATAGCGCAAGCTCTCATAGCATCAAGGATGTTTTGAAATGAAGTTCTCAAAGCTCACTTCGTGCATATACTGGACAGACTACGTATTTTCTTCCCATCATGATCATCCTGTTGTCGGTTACTGTACGTGTCAGTTTGCGACCAATGACAAAAAAATATCCGAAAGCGTTAGAAAACACTTGGCACTAAATATTTTCAAGTTCAGTTTTTTAAACACAAAATTTTTCATTTGCTTTTCAGTTTCACAGTTCTGTCCGCAAATTCTTCTTGTAAATGTAACAAGTGTCAATAAGTATGTATCAACTGATTATTTTGATCTATTCGGAGAGTTTGAAGTTTTGGCATCCATATGGTAGGAACAGTAAGCTCAATCAGTACGATTTTGGGGGAAGGGTGGCGGGGAAAGGATTAAGATAAACATGGCATCCCACAGAAACAACAATTTCATTTTTTAATCATCAATTGAGATACCTACTTAATGATTAATGTTTTAACGACTAAGAGTGTGCAGTTTGCTTGTTTTATAATAGGTACTGTAGATGTTGTGTATAAACCAAAAGTGTTGCATATGTTGCTCTGGTATAAACCAAAAAAAAAGAGGTTCATCAGTAACATACGCTTATAATCACAACGTGATGAATGAAACATGATAACCGGATATATACATGAATTATTACATAAGGTGGGAGGGAGAAGTGCTTCTGGAAGTTGCGATTTAATAAGTGTTAGCTTGTTTCTAAACCAGACAGAAAGGCAGCTCATCAGTTACTAATACTTACAATCACAATGAAATGAGTTAAACACGATAACTGGATTTATCTATGAATTATTACATAAGGTAGGAGTGCTTCGAGAAGTTAAGGTGTTATAGATATTACCCTATTTCTAAATCAGCCAAAAATAGCGTGACGAGTGAAACACGATAACCAGATTTATACATGAGATGGGAGAGAGGAGTGCTTCGGGAAGTTGAGATGTAATAGGCATTAGCTTATTTCAAAATCACCCAAAAGAACAGATCAGTAACATACGCTTACAATCACAACGTAGACGTGATCAGTGAAACATGATAACCGGATATATACATGAATTATTACATAAAGTGGGAGAGAAAAGTGCTTCGGGAAGTTGAGATGTAATAAGTGTTAGCTTGTTTCTAAACCAGACAAAAAGGCAGCTTATACTTACAATCACAACGTAATGAGTTAAACACGATAACCGGTTTTATAAATAAGATGGGTGGGAGGAGTGCTTCGCGAAGTTCTGATATAATAAGTTTTAGGTTATTTTTAAATCATTATAAAAACAGCCTATCAGTAAATTATACATACATTTACAATCACAACGTAATGAGTGAAACACGATAATTGGATTTATATGTGAATTATTACGTAAAGTGGGAAGGCAGAGTGCTTCGGGATGTTGAGATGTAATAGGCACTAGCTTATTTCTAAATCACCCAAAAAAGCAGATCATCAGTAACATACGTTTACAATCACAACGTGATGAGTGAAACACGATAACCGGATTTATAAATATGATGGGTGGGAGGAGTGCTTCGGGAAGTTCTGATGTAATAAGTTTTAGGTTATTTTTAAATCATCCAAAAAACAACTCATCAGTAACTTACACATACTTTTATAATCACAACGTAATGAGTGAAACACGATAATCGGATTTATATGTGAATTATTACGTAAAGTGGGAGGTAAGAGGGCTTCGGGAAGTTGAGATGTAATATGCATTAGGTTATTTCCAAATGAGCCAAAAAAGCGGTTCATCACAACGTATTGAGTAAAACACGATAACCAGAGTTATGTATGTAGCATTACATTGGATAGGAGACCTCGAGTGCTTTAGGATATTGAGATGTATTATTAGCTGAAGATATTCACGAAAATATGATAAAATTTGACATGCAGAAGGGGGGAAGGGGGAAACCCGCCCCGATTGAGCCTTTTGTTGTGGATTTTATGGATAATCCTTAAGTATACAGTCCCATTAATTAAAAATGGTCAGAGTTCACATTTTTACTTATCAGCACTCTACCTGTATGTGAGGTATCAATTTATAATGATTATAATAATAATATTAATATTCAGGAGAAAAAACCGAATGAAAACTGCACAAAATCAAACAGGCAATAGGCTTATTAAATGTACACATTGTTTACATTTACAAGTAGTGCTTCATTTCATACAATACTATTTTTCTTCGTCACTGTAAGTCATCCAATTAACGTATTGATTGAGAAAAGTAACTTACGTAAATGTAGAAATGTAGATAGCACTTACAAATATATATATATA